GTCTTTTCTTCTTGCTTCTTCATTGGGATGACTTGGTCTAGCTTGACAGTACCTGCCTTCTGATCTCTCTTAAAAGACCGACACTCCATTTTCCTATGACCCATTCTTCCACAGTAATAGCATGTAATCTTCGAGCGTGATTTGGATCTACCTCGAGATTGATACTGATCTCGGCTCTTACTACGTCCACGAGTCTCATTCTTTCCCCGGTTTTCAATGATATTAGCCTCGGGATGGATAGACTCACCTCGTTCCATTCTCCTCGATTCTTCTCCAAGAAGGCTATCACTAACAGCATCCATAGTGAGCTTTCCTTCGGGAGCAGAGTTACTAAGTGTGACTACTAGCGTATCCCAACTTTCCGGTAAGGAACTAAGGAGTAGAAGGGCTTGCAACTCATCATCAATCTTCATCTCAATTTTGGTTAATTGATTTACAAGCCCCTTGAAGTTATTCAAGTGCTCAATCATACTATGACCATCCTTATACTCCAGCTTCACCAATCGACGAACTAAATTGGCTTTGTTACGAGGTGTTTTCTTTTGAATCATGGACTCAAGTTTTGCCCATAATTCATAAGCATTTGTGTATGTAGAAACATGCTCAAAGAGAGATTTGTCGATGTACTTACGGATCATAGCAACGGCCTTCCGATTCAATAGCTCCCACTGAGCATCGCTCTTGCCTTCCACCTTCTCTTTATAGATGATGGGCTCATGCAAATCCTTGCAGTATAAATGATCCTCCATCATTGGCTTCCAATATGAATAATTATTGGCAGTAAGCTTGAACATGTCTCCATCATGAGCAACGTTGTCCTCCATCTTGAACTGCACGAGCTAATGACAGCTTTTGATGAACCTGGCTCTTGATACCACTGTTGGGAAAACTCGGACTTTCCCGCTTCGTGAAGTTAAGATAGGCACTTAGAAATTAAAGGTAGTAATGGGAGCACACGAGTTAAATTTTCCAATATGGAGATTCTTCCACTATGCAAAAGAATAGTAGGATTACAAGAATGTAATTACAAAATAGACTCACTCTATGGTGGCACACTCAAAACTTGAGACTATCTCTCTTCTCTCACAAAGAGGCTTTCTCACTTTCTCACTCTAAGAAGTGGATTCACTCTTGGCTTGGATTGAATAGGAATGAAGCCTCCTACCCCTATTTATACTACTCCACCTTCAGAATGAATGGTGGGGATCAAGGGTTGAGATTGGTTCTCTAGAATGTTCCACACATTCCAGGAATCTCTACTCCCTTCTATATCCTTCTATACTCTTCCATAAGGTTCCGGAAGGCTCCACACATCTCTAGAATGTTCCAGAGGATTCCACACTATTCCACAAACTTCTAGAGAATTCTACAATTCTCTAGGATTCTCTAGAATGTTCTAGAAAATTCTATACTTCTCTAGAAAGCTCTAGAATTTTCTAGAACCTCTCCAATTAAGGAGGGATCCTAACAAATTTTGCTACTAGGAGATTCTCTCCGTGTCCTCTTTGATGAGAGGGTTTTGGTATCCTTATGTATAGGGCCAATGGAGTGTTGACACCGGACTTATATGTCCACGTCATTCTAAACTTTGAAATGTTGACTCAAAGAGTAAACGGATATGCAATAACCGGATCTAGATGGTTTTGAAACCGACCTGAACCCATGTGAAGCTTCACTCCCACTTCAATACCTTCGTTTCCCAAACCAACTGCATCGTACTTTCCATCGAGTAAAGGCTTGCCTCATAGCACCCCTTCCCCACGTGCTACCATGCATGATTGTTGGGACGCTCTCACATAGGTCGCATTCGAATCTTCAAACAATGCAGAGCAGTGACTGATTCACAAGGGAACTGAAACACTATTTGAGGAGAATGATGAGGATCTTGTTTATCATATATTTCATCCTCAATAAGAGAAAGTCGATGCTAGTTACCCATTCCCATGGTTGGTACATACACCTCTTTTGTTTTGTTTACAAAATCCAAATGTTATTAATGTTCAATGTTTTAGTATATTTATTTTTGTCGGTTAATTTATTTTGGTGACTCCAATTTTTTGTTCTTGTAGCCCTAACCTCGCAAAAATATTGTTCCTCTAATACCAACTTTTTTCTTGCTTACTGTAGACAACCACTATCCTCTCCCTTATTATTGTTATTGGCAACATTAGCCCAAAAATCGATGTTGGTCGTATTTTAGAATGTCAATTGCTTTTGTTTTTCTTTTGGACAAGCTTATGAATCTACTGAACTAACACAAAGAATCCAAGTTTTTGTAAAAAGGACAAAAGAAGGTAACTAAATTTCGGGTCTTGGTTTCAAAACCATTCGGATCAAGTTACTCTATACTCGTTTACTCTTTCGATCAACATTTCCAAGTTTTGAATGATGTGGACATATAAGCCACATGTGAACACTTTATTAATTGGTCATAAACATAAGGGACACCAAAACCCTAAAAAAAAATCTCCTTATAATGAAAGTTTTGATTCATAAAATCTTTATTATTTTATAATTATTTATGAATGATAAGAGTGTCACATTAGCAATGCCCAAGAATACCCCGTTCCTATTGGATTCGGCTGGCTTATCAGAGATGCAACAGGTAAGTGGTTAGTAGGATTTTACAGGAATATCAATATTAAGGATAACCTAAAGGTTTAATTGTTGGTTATACTTAATGGTCTTTGTAAACGTGGGAAGCAGATCATAGGATGGTGTTATGTGATTCTTATTCATTGCATGCAATATCACTAATACAACAACCATAGACCAGTTTCATCGACACAACACCATTGTTTCAAATATCCAGGAACTCCTAGAAAAGGAAATCAATACGCAAACTTCTCATTCAAGTTTGGGCCTAGTTTAGGAAGAAGCTACATCGACTCCAACATCCACCAACGAACACGTAGAGGTTGCTGCTAGCTAACACGTAAAGCGTTAGCTTTATTCGCCATTAGTTGTTACTTTTTATTTCTATTTTTTTTATCAGTAGTTTATTTTTATTTCTTTCTTAATAAGCAAAATTTATGAGTATAGCATTACATAAAAATAAAAAAACTAAAATTTTATTATATTTTAATTTAAATATAAAATTAAGATATAAGAATTTTAATGTATTTATAAACAAAACATAAAATAATATATAAAAAAAACCGACTCATTCAATATTGAGATCTCAATCACGTCGAAAGTGAAATATCAATTTTAACGAGAATTAAATAACTCAACTTTCAAAAGAAAAAGATTCTCTCAATTATCAAAATCAGAAGATGCTAATTACTCAAAACCAAAACAAAAAGAACATGGTATTACTATTAGTATATTAATTATTACCCGATACAGAAATTAATTACAAAATAAGTTATTTTAACTAGCAGAATTAAAATAAATAAATAGCAGGAAGCTAAGCCAAACATTACACAGAGAGCAAAAGTCCTACTGGTTTTGTATCCACTAGAACAACCATGGATCAAATCCAACAATGCCCATTACACGCAATCCATGTTATTTGGTTATTCTAAGTACCACCAACCAACAAAACTCATCATAAGTCACTTGGACAACCTCGTAGCATGACGTTGACCAATTCCACTGACTTTACAAAAGCAGTTGTTTATTGAAGATCCAGCTGAAGTTAACGGCGTGAGGCTTCATCTTACGCGCTCGCTCCTCGGCCCGCTCTTGCAACTTCCTAATCCTGGGCGCCAACCCACACACGTAATCCTGCGCCCTCTTTAAAACTCATCATAAGTCACTTGGACAACCTCGTAGCATGACGTTGACCAATTCCACTGACTTTACAAAAGCAGTTGTTTATTGAAGATCCAGCTGAAGTTAACGGCGTGAGGCTTCATCTTACGCGCTCGCTCCTCGGCCCGCTCTTGCAACTTCCTAATCCTGGGCGCCAACCCACACACGTAATCCTGCGCCCTCTTTCCCTCAGCCGTCAAACCCTCCAGCTTCTCCAATCTCCACCGTCCGACCAAAAACTCCATAATGTCAGCATAGTCATTGGCCGTGTACACGCCCAAACGCTGGGCCACCGCGGAGTAGTGCTCGAATAGCTTGGGGTCCTCCCCATCGTACATAAGGTGCGCCGGCATCGTGATCTTCTTCTCCATCATGTCCCCTATGGCCACCATCGCGCCCGAGGGGTCCACTTCTAGAAGCTTCTCCACGATCCTCGAGTACGCGTTCTCGTGCCGCTTCTCGTCCGCAGCGATGGTCCCGCATATGCGCGCCAGCACCGGATCCCCGCCCTCCTTCGCTAGCCGAGCCGTGTTCCCGTGCGCCACAAACGTCGCTCGCTCTTGGAATGACGTGTACACAAACCCCAAATACGGGTTGTTCTCCGTTCCTGGGTCCTACATAGTACATAACATACCCAATCCAAAAATAAAAAAAATTATTTTATCACATTTTTCTGCAATTTAATATATACAACATCACCTCTATTCTTCTCCAAATGAATAAAGATCCAATTTTATTTTATTTTATTTTTAATAAAAAGAGTTTGACTTACCATGCCAGCACTAATGAGGTAATGGACGGTCTTCTCGACCATGGACATGTCAACTCGACCGGAAAGGTACAAATAAGTTCTGAGCAAATCCCCGTGTCTGTTTTCTTCTGCGGTCCAGGCCCGGGTCCAGACGGCCCACGGGCTTGGGCTGGTGCCGCACTCATCTCTGACCCCGTCGAGGTTGTTGATCATGGTCTGGTAAGTGGGTAGCGCGTCTTCCGTGACCATGTCACCGACGAGCACCACGAAGTATTCATCGGGTAGCTCCTTGGTGCGTTCGCGGAGCTCCTTCACCTGATCGCTGAACTCTTCGTACGGCAACGACGAGTCCGGGACGAAGCTTTGAGGCTGCCAGCATTGCTCCACGGGCTTCAGCAGCGGGAGGACCCACTGCGAGGCCCACCCCTCCAGCGACTTGAACACCTCCACCTTTTCCGCCGGCATTGAGTGGGTCCTTCGCGCTTTTAGCGCCGCGGCATTCGGCGGCGGGACTAGGTGGCGGTGCTGTCGGCGGTGGAAACTTCTAGAACCCCACGCGGGTGGAAGAGTTTGCGCGGTGACGGAGTGCATGGTTTGGGTTATGTGGCGGGCTTCGGGCTTCGGACTTTGACAGTGTGTGTTGTGAAGAGGTGGGAGATATTTGTAGGGGGTGTGACTAGTGACTAATCCTTCTGTGGTTTATAGTAATTTACGAAAATGTCATGTTGGATTTTTTAAGTTATTTACCTCATTAGTTATGAAAGTGTTGACGATGATGGAAATTTAAGGAGGAATTGAATCCGATACGTGGGTTGGATGTTTTTGGTTAGGAAAATGTTTAGGAATGATGGTTACATAAGGAAGGGTACTATTGTCATTAGACAGAGGTTGTGTGGCGTGGAAAAATAAAAAAGTTCCGGGTTTTAAATAAATGGGGGATTTGTAAAACAGGGGGTGCTGTGGTTTTGATAGAATAGTAGGGAAAACGAGCGATTCGGGATTTCTGTGGATCTTTTTCAGCTTTGTGGGTGTCTCTGAATTTGCCAGCGCATATTTTCTTCCTCTTATTGACTTTTTTCTTTATGCCAAATGGAGGTAGGTGTTGATTCATAAGTATATATACAAATAAAAGTATTTGTATTATATGAAAAGAAAATAATAGAGTGTATTACATGTTTTCTATTATTGTTCTTAGTATATTTATTAATATTTTTTTTTAGGTTTAATTGTATTTTTATCCCTTAAATATAACAATTGTGTAATTTCGGTCCTCAAGATTTTAATTAAATAATTTTAGTCCTTAAAAAATTGTAATTGTGTGATTTTAGTCTCTCGATTTTTAATTGAACAATTTTAGTTCCTCAAATATCATAATTATGTTATTTTAGTCTTTCTCATTAAAAATTTAATAATTTTAAAATATAT